GTGGAAAGATTGCCCTACCACGTACCTTGCTTCGACAACTTAGCTATTATGAGATCCTGTGCCTTCTTAACAGGGACAGAGGAATTCCTGAGATGGACTTGCCATACAACTTAACTCTAAATTTATGAAATCAAAACAGATTGCCTAGTTGTCTTTTGTGACTGACATGGTAGCTAGAATCCCGATAAAGTCTATCCCAGCATATGGGCTGAGCTCCTGAGACCATGGAAGATTTCTCAGTGGGGCTCCCTTAAATACGTTGACAAAAATTTATGCCTGCTTGTTTCCAGAGGCTTGACATTCTACAAGGAAATGTATTTTTCCTGTGTCAGCTTAATTTTATCTTGAATCTTCTGGTGGATGACCTGAAATATTGGCAGATCTTGCTCTGGAGTTGAGGGGCGGGTTGTGAAGATTTCCAGACTGTGTGTAAAAGTAACATCACAGGCTGGCTGAACAACCAGTTTGTTGTCTCTTCAGCTGTTGTCAGTGTTCTTAGGGAGGTGAAGTGAACTCCTGGGGAGTTCATTTGCAGGTTTATTTTCACCTGTTCTCTGGCGATTCCACAGGGGAAAGCATTCTGAACTGCAGTAGAGATAAAGGGAAGGACTTACAGATGTTCCAAATGGGTTGGGCGTCAATAAAGATATTGCCAGGGCAGAAGGCTTTACAGGGGCAAGGGAAAGGAAGCTATCAGAAGCACAGACTTCGCATTAAAATGTCAGGGATCAGTCATTTTAATAGGCATTTGCTCAGAATGGCCTGGTGTCTGTCTTCGTCTTTTTTCATTTTCGGTATGTGATGACCCTTGATATCAAAAGATGTTAACTGTCACAGAGGGGGAGAATAGGGCCCCAGTGAATTCTGAACAGCCAACCTTAATTTAATAGGCAATATTCTTATCATAAGTCAGATGTTAAAATAAATTGTTTTAAATGTCACTGCAAATGACTTTCTAAACTAACATTACACCAATCTTGATGCTTCCATTTTATGTTGATAATGAAAATACATTTTATTAGTCTTACATTGATAAAGGGTTGACAAGTTAGCCGGATTCAAGCAGCCTAAACCCTTTTCAGGAGGTTTATTTTTATAGATGCCAATTCATCTGTAAGCCAATAAATTAAGTGGTTTGAAAAAAAAAAAGAAAACTGTGTTCAATAAAAAAAAAAAGAAATATAATACATTGCCTGGACAAGCACAAAGGTTTGGGGGACAACAAAGAGCTGGGGCAGGTTTGAATGACAGACCTACCTCCTACATGAGGCCCTTCTTTCAAGACTGGCAGAGGGGTAAAAAAATCTTTAAAAAAAAAAAAAAAAGACTGGCAGAGGGGGCTGTTTCATCTACTGTACAGAATCAAACAGAGTCAAGCAAAATGAAGAAACAGAGGCATATATACCAAATGAAAGAACAAGATAAAACCTCAGAAAAAAAAAAAACCACCTTAATGAAACAGAAGTAATTTACCTGATAAAGAGTTCAAAGTAAGGGTCACAAAGGGCTCACCGAACTGGGGAGAAGAATGGATGAACACAGTGAGAATTTCAACAAAGAGACGGAAAATCTAAGAAAGTACCAAATAGAAGTCAAATAGCTGTAGAATTCAATAACTGAACTAAGAAATACACTAGGGCTTATCACCAGACTAGATGAAGCAGAAGAAAGAATCGACTGGAAGATAATGCAGCAGAACTCACTCAATCAGAGCAGCAAAAAGAAAAAAGAAAAAAAGTAAAGACAGCATAAAGGAGTTATGGGATAACATCAAAAGGACTAACATTTGTAGGACTCCCAGAAGGAGTCAAGAAGAGAAAGGGGCAGAAATCTTTTTTGAAGAAATAATAGCTGAAAACTTCCCTAACCCAGGAAAGTAACCAGACATTCAGATCCAGGAAGCCCAAAGAGTTCCAAATATAGTGAATGCAAGGGGAGCCACACCAAGACATATTATAATTAAAATGTCAAAAGTTAAAGACAAGGAAAAAATATTAAAAGCAGCAAGAGAAAAACAATTTGTTTTGTACAAGGGAAACCCCATTAGACTATCAGCAGATTTTTCAGCAGAAGCTTTGCAGGGACACTGACAGGTCTTGACACAACTTCAACTACTGGGAGGTATTAGAAATATAATACGCTGGGCACCTGGGTGGCTCAGTCAGTTAAGCGTCTGCCTTCGGCTCAGGTCATGATACCAGGACCCTAGGATCAAGCCCCATGTTGGGCTCCCTGCACAGTGAGGAGTATGCTTCTCCCTCTCCCTCTGCCCCTCCTCCCCGCCCATGCTCTCTCTCTCTCAAGTAAATAAATAAAATCTTTAAAAAAGCAGCAGCAGCAGCAGCTTTGCAGGCCAGAACGGATTGGCAAGATATAGTCAAGGAAAGGAAAAAAAAAACTTCCAACAAACAATGCTCTACCCAGCACAATTATTCAGAATTGAAGGAGAGATAGTTTTCCTGACAAGCAGAAGCTAAAGCACAAGCTTGCATCACCACTAAAAAGGGCCTTATAAGAAATGTTAAGATGAGGGGCGCCTGGGTGGCTCAGTTGGTTGAATGACTGCCTTCGGCTCAGGTCATGATCCCAGGTGCTGGGATCAAGCCCCGCGTCAGGCTCCCTGCTCAGCGGGGAGTCTGCTTCTCCCTCTCCCTCTGCCTGCCACTCCCTCTGCTTGTGCTCTCTCTCTCTGTCAAATAAATAAATAAAATCTTTAAAAAAAAAAAAGAAAGAAAAGAAATGTTAAGATGAAAAGAAAAGACCCTAACTAGTAACAAGAAAACATGAAAGAAGAAATCTCACTTGAAAGGTAAATATATAGTAAAGGTAGTGAATTAATCACTTATAAAGCTAGGATGAGGGCTAAAAGAGGAAAGTAGTAAAAATTACCATGATGACCATAATTGGTTAAGGGATACACAAGATAAAATGATGTCAAGTGTGGGGCGCCTGGATGGCTGGGTCGGTTTTGTGTCCAGCTCTTGATTTCAGCTGAGGGAATGATCTCAGGGTTGTAAGATCAAGCCCCGCATTGGGCTCCGTGCTGAGGGTGGAACCTGCTTCAGCTTCTCTCTCTCCCTCTCCCTCTGCCCCTCCTCCTCTAAAAAATAAAATTTTAAAAAAGTAAAATGTGGGGCGCCTGGGTGGCTCAGTTGGTTAAGCGACTGCCTTCGGCTCAGGTCATGATCCTGGAGTCCCGGGATTGAGTCCCACGTCGGGCTCCCTGCTCAGCAGGGAGTCTGCCTCTCTCTCTGACCCTCCCCCCTCTCATTCTCTCTCTCAAATAAATAAAGTAAAATGTGACATTAAAAACATAAAACGTGGGGGCACCTGGCTGGCTCAGTCAGAGGAGCATGCAACTCTTAATCTTGGGTTTGTGAGTTTGAGCCCCACATTGGATGTAGAGACTATTTAAATAAATAAATATTTTAAAAACTTGGAAAAAATGGGACAATTATTCACATTCTTGTCATTCTGACATCAGAAAACTTTAACACATGCGCGCATGCATGCACGTGCTATGTTGGTTACAAGAAGGAAAGGCAAAGTCATCTGTAAATCTAGATTATATTCTGCTATAGCAATATTGAAGTCCCTCTGGCCAGAAGAAGGACATAGATAAGATGTTCCTGACAAAAACAAAACAAAACAAAACAAAAACCCAAAACCAATGATTTTGAGTGATTTTCCTTGATGATTATCAATGGGATGAGAGATGTTACCAACAGTGCTCAGTTGCTGTTGTTTGAGGTGCCAATGCCAAGTTTGAAGTCATTGAAAAATAAGGCTCTTTGAGGAATCTGCATGGAACAACAATAGGCAAGAATATTTTCCAAAAAAATTGAGAAAACACTAATTAGATACAACCTGAAGGGGAATCTGCTAAGATGTGTTAATTGATGGAGGTAAAACTTTGTGAAGCAGGAAAAGGCTTAGTTGGATAAATTTATAAAGCTCTAGAAGAGATAAGGCCTTTAGAGCCTATGGTTATTCGTTGGACTCAAATTACTCAGCAGGAACTAATTTGCAGAAAATATTTGCATCTATCATATGTTATTGAACTAGAATTATCAATAGTGAACTTCATTTGCTCTTGTATTTACCCATCATCAGGTCGATGAAGTTTTGTAGATAGAAGCTGAATATCGTGCCTTGCTCTACTTTACAGCATTTTGATGGCTTAGCAGTACTAAAGTTTTACTGCAGTTTTTTTTTTCCAGCTCAGAGCCAAGATTGAAATGTTTCAAAAGAGAGAATCATCCCAACTGTCATTACTGAATAACTGGAAATTAGCTTTTGCTACAGGCTTGATAGTGTTTCTCAATGAATTCAAGCTGAAATTAGAGAGCAAAACAGTGCTTATATGTGAAATGTGTATTGTAGCAGTCATTTTGACAATAATGTTTTGAATCACAAAGAATGTAAAACAGCTCTTTATACACTTCCTGTAATGTCAAAAATTAAAACAAGAAGCAATATCTCCAGACCTTGATGTCAAGTGCAATGGAAATTTCCATATTTCAAATTCCATTTAATTGTGCAATTGAGGAGCTTCCACCTAACCTTCAAATGCAAATGACTAATCTGCAATGTAACAACAAACTAAAAGGCAAACATCAGGAGAAGAATCTAACAGAATTCTATAAATGCCTTCCAACAATAAATATGCTCAATTAAAATCATGCTCAGGGGGGCGCCTGGGTGGCTCAATTGGTTAAGCGACTGCCTTCGGCTCAGGTCATGATCCTGGAGTCCCGGGATCGAGTCCCGCATCGGGCTCCCTGCTCAGCAGGGAGCCTGCTTCTCCCTCTGACCCTCCCCCCTCTCATGTGCTCTCTCTCTCTCTCCTTCTCTCTGTCTCAAATAAATAAATAAAATCTTTAAAAAAAAAAAAATCATGCTCATGGACTGATAGCAGTATTCGTAGTACCACTTGGATGGAGACATTTTCTTTCTTTTTTTTTTTTTAAAGATTTTATTTATTTATTTTTTTGACAGAGAGAGACACAGCAAGAGAGGGAACACAAGCAGGGGGAGGGCAGAGGGAGAAGCAGGCTCCCCGCCGAGCAGGGAGCCCAATGTGGGGCTCCATCCCAGGACCCTGGGACCATGACCTGAGCCGAAGGCAGACACTTAACGACTGAGCCACCCAGGCGCCCCTGAATGGAGACATTTTCAAAGATGAAATATGTAAAGTCTCATTACAGATCAGCATTCATAGTTCAATGTGATCATAGGGAACACTAACCTTGATCCTAATTAAGCAAAATATCATCCCAAAGAATTCCATTCTTCTCATTTGCATACCTGGATGATAAAAAAGTTATACTCAATCACTATTCTATTTTGAATTTAACACATTTGTACGAATTTTTTTCTCTTGTTACACAAGTACCTACATAAATAATACTCTTGATTTTTCTCTTGGCCTGAAAAGCCTAAAATATTTACTATCTGGCCCTTTACAGAAAAATCTGGTGTGTCTCCCCCGCCCCCTGTGTAAAGAGTTGAATGGAACTGATTTCTCTGAGCTAAGCTAAGTCCTCTAGTGGAAGGATCATCCCGCTCAGAATTTTACTAATGACATTCCAGAATGCTGTCCAGCCCACAAGTAACTAAATGACAGGAAGAACATGACCGCACTTTAAAACACTAGACTAGGGGCACCAGGCCGGCTCAGTCAGAAGAGCATGTGACTCTGGATCTCAGGGTCATGAGTTCAAGCCCCATGTTGGGTGTAGAGATTACTAAAAAAAATAAAAATAAAACTTAAAAAAAAAAAAAATCACTAGAATAAAGTGGGCCAATGCTTTCTGTAGTGGCCAGTAGAGCTTCTGGATATGGCACCTAAACCTAGTTCAGAGAGATCACTCTGGGAAAGAAGTGATTATTAAGTTGATATTTTAGATAGCATGGTATGAAAAATTATAATGGGGATATGAACATTATTAGTATTGTAGTAGCACAGTAATAGGAAGGAAAAATCATCAATGAGCTTTTTTGTTTTAGGGAGATAAACTTAGAAATATATGTAAAACAAGAATAGTGACTGAGAGCAATTGATAAGAGAAAATTTATTGCATAGGAGGAAAAGATCTCAAAAAAATACGTTAATAAATGCAGTAGAAACTCAACAGGTCAACCACTCCTTGTGGAGAAAGCGTCTGAGAACTGCTGACCTTATGAAGTCAGTGAAGTAAATATATCAAGTATCCACACCTACATGGTCATGTCTCTTCTACTCTCAGAATTATTGCTGGAAAAGAATCAAGGGCAGGAGAAAGGGACAGACACTTGTTCTCATGTCCTTGGTAAGGCAGCAACATAGGAAGACTGCCTGGCCTTAACCGTCACCAAAGGGATTGGACCTGCCCAAATAGGGAAGAACAAAGTCAACAGTAGGTCCCAAGGCTGTGCACTCTCTATAAAGGCAGCCTCAGGGCTAGGAAGTAAGGAATCTGGACAAGTGCTTGAAAAGCCTTGTCAGTCCTTTGAGTCTAGACTGTAATTTTCTTAGAAGAAAAATAAAATGCCATCTGGAAACCCTTGGAATGAGCAAGATCGGGCAGAATTACAAATCTTTATGTTACAGCGCCCCCCCCCCCTTTTTAAAATGCTTCCTTGTTTGTTTTTTCTAAGATTTTATTTGAGGGAGAGAGAGAACACAAGTTGTGGGGGAGGGGCAGAGGGAGAGGGAGAAGCAGACTCCTCACTGAGTAGGGAGCCCCATCCCCATCCCAGGACCCTGAGATCACGACCTGAGCTGAAGGCAGAGGCTTAACCGACTCAGCCACCCAGATGCCCCTTAATGCTTCCTTGTTGCTTCTCCATTCATTTCCGTTTTGTTATATCTTAGCATCTAGAAACATTTTTTGGATTTTTTTTAAAGCTTGTCTCAGCTATGCTAAGGAAGAGTAAAGAAAAATACTTAAAAAATTTTATTGCGAAAAATTCCAAACAGATACAGAAGTAGAGTACTATGCTAACCCTCCCCACCCTGGCCCAAACACACATCATGTCACCTACCTTAACCTAGTTACCAACACAGGGACATTTTTGTTTCCACCTTTCTCCAGTCCACACTCCATTCCCCAGTGGACTATTTTGAAGCAAAAGGAGAGACATTTTGATCCATCTGTAAGACAAATTTTTCAAGAGGGGATCATGGCACTTTGGCAGAATGACGGTTGTATCTGAAATCCAAACTGGGGGCAAATTCAACCACTCTTCTGTATTCTGAGACTGATAATTCCCTCCTGGTGCTAAAATTTACTTTGGAAGACATCAGTGTCCTGGTCAGCAAAACAAAGGGACTAAATTATAGGCAGTTGTGTGACAGTAAAGTGCGACTTCGACTTTGAGTTAGAAAACCTGGCTTAAGAGTGCCAGCTCTGCCCCCTGCAAATTACATAATTTATGGTAGTTTATGTCAGCAAGTCACTTAACCTCTCTGAGCTTCTGGAACATTTATAAAAAAGCTCTTCATGGGACTTTGGTTGGAGTAAGTAATGTATTATGGGAACTTTTGTGAATTGGAAAGCACTATATAAATTAGGTATTATTGAGTTCTTCAGTTAAGTAAAAGATGACTCAAATTTGAGTCTGCAAATTAGAAAAACATTGACACATTTGACAGAAAAGGGGAACCTGAAAGGCACAATTTAATCCAAATGGAAGCTTGTCTTGAACACAGGGGTTGATACAGGGCTAACCATCAGGTCCAAATATTTATTTTAAATAGTTATTATGCTAATTAACAGGAAATAGTGACACAACCTCTTTACCTTCACTACAATCAATCTTCATTTTTCTCTGGCTTCTTCTCATCTTTATCCACCTACAGCCAAACACTATTTATTAAGTATATATTATGTGCTGGGCACTGTGTTAGGCCCTGGGAATACAAAAAGTAATAGTAAAGTAGGCAGGCCTCCAAGATGCTCGGATTAGGAAGGGAGTGAAGCTTATAAGCAATCACAATGGAATGTAATAAGAATTTAGGCTGTGATAAAAAAAAAAAAGAAATCTTGCCATTTGCAACATGTGGATGGAACTAGAGGATATTATGCTAAGCGAAATATATCAGTCAGAGGAAGACAAGTATCATATGATCTCACTGATATGAGGAATTCGAGAAATAAGATCATAGGATCATAGGGGAAGGGAGGGAAAAATGAAATAAGACAAAACCAGAGGGAGACAAACCATGAGAGACTCAATCTCAGGAAACAAACTGAGGGTTGCTGGAGTGGAGGGGGGTGGGAGGGATGGGTGGCTGGGTGATGAACACTGGGGAGGGTAAGTACTATGGTGAGTGCTTTGAATTGTGTAAGACTAATGAATCACAGACCTGTACCCCTGAAACAAATAATACATTATATGTTAATTTAAAAAATTTAAAAAAATTTAGGTTGGGACCACAGTGTTTGCATAGAAACCATAGGATGTGGTCAGATTTTGTTCTACTTTTAGAATATATGTGTTTCAGAGTCACCAATAGGCAGGTGACTCCTAAAGCCTTCATGATTAGCCTACCAAAGGAGAAGCTGTAGAGAGATTAAGGGATGAGCTTCTTCTACACATAGAGGCTGGAGAGAAAAGTGCTATCAAAAAAAGACCAAGAGGGGCGTCTGGGTGGCTCAGTCGTTAAGCGTCTGCCTTCGGCTCAGGTCATGATCTCAGGTTCCTGGGATGGAGCCCCGCATCCGGCTCCCTGCTCAGCGGGAAGCCTGCTTCTCCCTCTCCCCCTCCCCCTGCTTGTGTTCCTTCTCTCGCTATGTCTCTGTCAAATAAATAAATAAAATCTTAAAAAAAAAAAAAAAAGACCAAGAAAGTGTATTTGGAGAGATAGAAGAAATTATGTCAGTGACCCAGAAGCTTAAAAAAATAAAAGTTAAAAAAAAAAAAGAATTCCTGAGGCGCCTGGGTGGTTCAGTTGCTTAAGCATCTGCCTTCTACTCAGGTCATGATCTCAGGGTCCTGGGATGGAACCCTGCATGGAGCTCCCTGCTTCTTCCTCTCCCTCTGCCCAACCCCCCTACTCGTGGGTGCGTGCTCTCTCTCTAATAAACAAAATCTTTATTTTTTTATTTTTAAAAAAGATTTTATTCATTTTAGAGAGAGCAATAATAATCTCTTATATGATGTTTAATATATGTCAGGCACTATTCTTTTTTTTAAAGATTTTATTTATTTGAGAAAGAGAGAGGTATCAGGCACTATTCTAAGCATTTTACATGTATTAGCTTGTTTAATATATGAGCCATGGAATGATTAAGTAATTGGCTTAAGGTCACCCAGCTAGTCAACTGGGAGCAGGATTTGAATCCAAACAGTTTCAAATTTTGTGCTGTTCAAATTGTACCTGAGAATAATACAACATGACAGTATTTGGGGGTGGGGATGAAAACCTGCTTATGCTGAGTAACAAAAGGCACTAAACCTTGACACTTCCCCTTTAGCTTACCCTAAGATGGATATCACCCATCACCCTAGAATCTAGTATATGTTCAACCTGAGGGCTGCAAAGGACCAAAATGAAAGAACATGGACAAAGGGATCTAAGTATAGGTTTGTATTGCCTGCGTCTCCCTTTTTGGACATGCTTTCTTATCTGTCCAGTTCTGGGAGTGGTGCTACCAATAATCGGGCACCAATAGTCTGGTGGTTTTTCTCAATAGTCATTCATTCAACAAATATTTCAGCATCAGGTCAGGTCCAGACATTGTGCTAGGCCCAGAAGTGAACAAGACAGACAAGATCCCTGCTTTTTAAAAAAAATTTCATTCTACTGCGGGGTGCAGGGCGGGGAAACAGGTTACAAGGACCTGGCGGGAACAAGGCCAGCCAGGGGGAATGTGAGATTAATTTAGAGAAGCAGCAGAATCCGGAACAGACAAGGTCTTCAAGCCACGCCCGGAGGAGTCCGCATTTTACTTGTATCAATTAAGCGCTAATAACGGCCAGATTACACCAGACCGTAGACTTCCTAGACCACTTAATCCTGTCGATCCAACCTTCACAACCCCCCATTTGTGCCTGTCGAGTCTCCTGGCCACTCTGGTTCCCTTAGCCTATCAGGCCACCTCGGGTCTAGGTCAACTCGTCCCTAACTGCGGGTCACCGCAGCCCGTGCGGTCATCTTCCAGAGCCACTTGGACCCATTGAGGCCTGTCCACCCGTAATTTCCCCCAGCGCTGGTCCCCCTGGGCCCCTCGGCCAGCCAGGTCACCTCAGTGCCACGCCTCCAAGGCCAAAGATTCGGCATGCACATTACGCTTTGTTCGCGGAGCAGGTTTTCGAAAAGCCGCTCCCTCTCGACTCCAGCTGTTTTCCTGCAAGAGCGGGGCGAGCCCACAGCGGCAGCGCCCCCGGCGGCGCACCGCAGCCCAGGAAGGGAGTGGCTGCAGCCATCACCTCCTCCGCCGCCACCCCCGCCTCCTCCGCCGCCACCCCCGTCACCCCCGCCTCCTCCGCCTCCTCCACCTTCTCCGCCTCCTCCCGGAACGCGGGAGCGGCCGAAAGCGGCGCACGCCCAGACCGTCACGACCGTGCTCCTGATTGGCCGCGCCGCGTGACGACACGGGGAGGGCCCGGGCGGCAGCTGGGAGCTAGAGCCCGCGCGTGCGCAGATCGAGCGCGCTGAGCGGAGGGGGGAGGTGGCCAGCCGCTTCTCCCGCGTCCGCCATTTTGTTGCTGTGGCTGTTGGGAACGGGCTGGGCAAAACTGCCCCGGAGGCGCGACGCTCTTGGGAGTCCGGTGCTTCGTGTGGCGGCGGGGATCCTTGCAGAGCCGTGGGGGGCGCGGAGTCGGCGCGTTCCGGGCCAGGAGTGACTGGAAGCACCCCCGGTACGCCGGGTAGCCCGAGAACCCCGGGGCGGCCTCCGCTGCGGCTCGGCTTCTCCCGCCCCGACCTCGGGCTGTGCCCTGCATTCCCCGGGCCGGCTCCCTCCGTGAGGCGGCCCCGGAGCAGGCGGGCGGCGGCGGAGGATGCTGCGGGCCCGGAGCCGAGAGGAAGGTGCTGGCTCGGCCCTCTAAGCGCGCCTCGAGGTGTGCCAAGAGGCCCTTCCTTGGCCGCACAGCCGTCTGTCGGGCAAAGGCGTCCAGAACAGACGAGAGCAGCCGCCGCCCCGACCCGCCGCAGAGCCCCGGCCCGACACGATGTCCTCCGCCAGGTTCGACTCCTCAGACCGCTCCGCATGGTACATGGGGCCGGTGTCTCGCCAGGAGGCGCAGACCCGGCTCCAGGGCCAGCGCCACGGTATGTTCCTAGTTCGCGATTCCTCCACCTGCCCCGGGGATTATGTGCTGTCTGTGTCCGAGAACTCGCGGGTCTCCCACTACATCATCAACTCGCTGCCCAACCGCCGTTTTAAGATCGGGGACCAGGAGTTTGACCACTTGCCGGCTCTGCTGGAGTTCTACAAGATTCACTACCTGGACACCACCACCCTAATCGAGCCCGCGCCCAGGTACGCGAGCGCCCGCGCTGCCCGGGCGCACAGCCCATTCCTACCGCGGAGGAGGGTCGAGAATGGCAGGGGTGGTTCGCTTGGGATCGGTCGAAGAGTGGGGGGTGGAGGTGTGTAATTGAACCCTTTTCACTCCATTCTGAACCAAATTCTTTTCCAGAAGGCTTCTGAACGGAAGGCTAGTGTCAGGATCTGGGTCACTGGATGAGGGGATGCGTTTTAAACATGTTTAACGGCGGTTCATAGTTAAAATGCCCGCTTTTTGCTTTTCGTCACGTTATCTATTTGGGTTATCCTACTAAAGAAGAGTTTTTGTTGTTTTTAAACCCTTTTTGGACCACAGACTTCTTTGAGAATCTCAAGGAAGCCATGGCATTTCCCCCTCCCTAAAAATGCACGTACACACAACTTTACGCACCATTCAAGGTTCTTGGGCTCCCTGGTCCAGTTTAAGAACTCTTGGACTGCAGCCTTTTGGAACTAACAGCCGGCAAGTGAAAATGCTTGCACGTTTAGATACAAAACCTTTAACAGAACTATATATTGATATCTTGGTGCCAAGTTTTAATTACACCAGACACCTTTTGTTTTATAATTACAGAAATTTTAAAAGAAGATGCACTGGCTTCAGCGAGGACATATTTTTGAGTTTTTATATTATAGTTTTTTTTTTTTAAAGATTTTATTTATTTATTTGACAGAGAGATAGCGAGAGAGGGAACACAAGCAGGGGGAGTGGGAGAGGGAGAAGCAGGCTTCCCGCAGAGCAGGGAGCCCGATGCGGGACTCGATCCCAGGACCCTGGGATCATGACCTGAGCCGAAGGCAGACGCTCAACGACTGAGCCACCCGGGTGCCCCTGAGTTTTTATATTATAGTTAACCCCCAGGCTGGACCACTAATAGGCCAGAAATCTATTTTATTAAATTCTAAGGGGGAATAAAGCTAGAATGTTAATTACTAAAGGAAATTTTTGAGCTACACTTTAATTCTATTCTAGTTTAATTTTAGATGTACATTTTGTGCATCTGTAAGTCTTAATAATTTAGTAAAGTTAAGCATCCAGCATTCTCTTTTCCAAGTAAAATGCATTATTTTATTCGATTATTTGCTTTAATTTGTCTTCAGTGTTTTATCACGTTTCTTTTATTTAAATTATGCCAAATTTGAACTGAAGAAATTGCCTGGAATTTTTTTAAATGAAAAGTATTTTACTGCCCATTTTGCTTCTTGAACTTCTGTTTTAAAAGGATAGGGTGCTCATTTTTGGAATGAGGTGTTTCTGATTTTATAGATTTGCTAAGATGTTCCTCTTGAGTTTTAACCATTAAGAGCTGTAATAACTAAGGAGCACCCACTGGATGCGTAAGTGTTGCTTCCATGGAATAAGAGAGAAGAAACAAAGCCATGACAGTATAATGACTGTAAGATTAACTGCTGAACTAAATGGACTTTAAAAACTGGGAGAAAGTGATTATAAATCAAATAGTGTATAACAAAGACCTAGGCATCAAGAATCTGATTAGTGAAATCTCCAGGTCCCCAAAGATGCTGGTAGTTGGGAGTCAGTTTTGAGCACAATATATTCCGATACGAGGGGTTGGAGAAAATATTAGAACCAACTATAATGAGATTTTTAGTATGTTTAAGTGAATTACTTCTCCAACTCGTGGAGGTGAATTAATATCATTAATTTCAGGCATTTATTAAGTCATGCCATGTACAAGGCATTGTGCTTGCTTTGAGGTGACAGGTATTATAATAACAGCTGTTTCAGAAAATGTTAGTAAATGGTTTGATCTCCTTCTAGAGAGAGAAAAAGGAATATGCTGCAGTAGCTTCCCATTACCAACAAAAACAACTCCACATTTTTCATACATGTGTCTTTCCAGATACCAGACATAACTTTCTGTTTTGGATGCCTATCCTCCCCCCACTCCCCACCTTGTTCTTCCTTTAGTGCAGTTCCGCTAGGCAGCTCATTTAATCCCTGGTAGCCATCCCTGCCTACTTTCTCACACCTTTGTACCTTTGCTCCAGCTGTTGGCTGGGCTGCTGGCTCTAGGTTGACTGCTTAAATACCGCCCCCCCCCCCCCAATCCTCACCTGTTGAAATCGTAACTGCTGTTCCAGGCCCCTCACATAATAGGGCCTTTCCCTGACCTCCCACTTACACGAAGCTGTAATTGTTTCTCCTCCTCTTCACTCTCTGCCCCAGGCATGTTGTAATTTAGGTTTTTATTTTCTGTTGGTATCTCGGAGGACGATCACAATTCTGGTTGAATTAGATCCAGACTGGATTTACTTTCTTAATCTTTGGATTTTCTCCCCTGAGCCTGAAATTCGAAGATTGGTTTGATATGTTTTCAGCCTTTGTAGAAAACTAGAGGTACCCTGTAAAGCCTTGGTCAAATGCAAGTCAGTTTAGTGCCTCTTCACACCCCAAACAAGATATATTAAGTGGTTTAGGCATCAAAACTGAGCTCTTAAGGCCAGAGTTTCGTGCCCTTTAGCTAAAAGTTTGTGTGTTTTTAATTTTGCTTAGTGAAAAATTATAACTATGACTTCCTCAGAATTTAAGGACTGGTGCTTGTTTTCTAGTCTGATCTTTTTTATTGGAATGTTCCTCAACATTTATATTTTTTTAAAAGATTTATTTATTTGAGAGCGAGAACAGGAAGAGAGAGCATGAGCTGGGGGAGAGGCAGACTCCCCGCTGAGCAGGGAGCCCAGTGTGGGGCTCTGTCCCCAGACCCTGGGATCATGACCCAAGCCAAAGGCAGACACTTAACCACTTAAACCCAGGCATCCCTAGTTTTATATTTTTATTCAGATATTCACAAGAGTTATATCCCAGTGATGGGGACTGAGAACAATGGATGGCAGACGTACTTTATCCATAATAGAACTTCTATTTTATTGAAAGAGACAAACTAAAAGTAGGAAAATAAATAAAATACAGGATTAATAAATGCTATGAAGGAAATGAAGCTGAGCAGAGAGAATATAATAGGAGGGACCTACCTGATGTAGTGTGGTCAGGGAAAGCATGAAGCTACCCAAGGGTAGGGAAGAGGCAAGCCTTGGGGAGGCCTGGGCTAAGAAGGGGGGGAAGAGCCTTCCAGTCATAGGGAAGAGCTTAGACAAAGTCCTGAGGTCAGGAAGATAGTCATTGGGTTGGGAGTGTGGTACTTAAATAAAGGGATTCTATGAGAAGAGTTAGGAGATGTAATGGTCAAGATAAGGAAATTGGATTTTATTTAAAGTGCAGTGGGTGCCATGGAAGGAGTTGGAAGCACAGGAGTGATAGGGACTTGTCACTGTTATCTGGGTGCAGAATGATGGTGGCTGATGGCATATATGTCACAGGTCATATAGACTGATGTAGAGCTGTGACTTGGAGGTGCCTGTTTTGGAGTTAAGATTGATGTTGCTGATGGGATGGTGAGGAAAGAGAAAGGAGGAAACAAAGATGACTTGGTACATTTGTAACTTTGTGTCCTCTCAGTTTATCTTATTAATTGCTTTTTGTGTTTGTGGTGTTCCTGTGGTGGGTTTTATTTTTATTTTTTAAAAGATTTTATTTATTTATTTGACGGAGAGCGAGCACAAGCAGGGAGAATGGCAGGCAGAGGGAGAGAGAGAAGCAGGCTCCCCCCAGAGCAGGGAGCTCGATGTGGGACTCGATCCCAGGACCCTGAGATCATGACCTGAGCCGAAGGCAGATGCTTAACCGACTGAGCCACCCAGGCGCCCATGTGGGGGGTTTTAAATTTAACCCCCAAAAAGTGTCATATCGTATCATATGGCTTTTGTTGATTTTGAGTGATTCTAAAGGGTTCTCTTTCAGCATGTGGGTGTAATTTTTTTTAAAGATTTTATTTTTATTTATGCGGGGGGGCCAGTGCCGGAGAGGAGCAGAGGGAGAGGGACAATCAGACTCCATGAGGAGCCCAACG